TTTTGAGGATATTCGGTATTGCATACATTAGAACGAAATCAAGACAGTTGATGAACTACCTCTCAACAATTTTAGAAATATCAAATTTGTAAATACCGGCAGCATAATTTGCTGTAGTCGTATATGTGCCACATATCAATATATACGATATGCATCAAACGACTACAATCGCATGTGCGTGTTGTGTTTGTGTCATACATTTATAAAATTATTAGTAGCGTCGCGAAAATCAGCCCTAAGTTTAATATGGTCGTGTCTCATAGCTACTTTACCGCCATCGCTTACCAACAACGATAAGACTATATTGCTTCTAGTATATATCAAGCCTACATATTCCAGCACCCTAGTTTAGCCTATAACTCACCAGATCAGGAAGACTTTGTTTTAAAACATTATGAGCTMCATCACATAGCACTGCTGAGTTGTTCCTCGAACTTTTGTCGAAACTGTCAGTACTCTCAACTTTACTCTTCGTCGKTTCCATGCTGATGCTGAGAGCAATTTATCACCAAAAACACTTGCCTCTTGTCAATGTTTTAGTTGAAATCAGACGGATTTTCAGTGTAATTGTTTAATTGGCCTGATATACTTTTGCAAAGGTGATGCAGTCATAGTTTCGTGTTCTTGTTCCGTTTCAGTTTCCATTTTGGGTCCAATATTGTTCACTGACAGCTCATCGCCTCTTGATATGCTTCAGAGGCTCAGCTTAACATAACTCAAGACGACATTTTAATCTGAATATATTAAATTCATCTTTGGATGAAGTCTGAACAGGAATGAAAGAGTTATATGTTTAATGCAACAGTTGATCCATGATCATATACAAGATGCTAAAAAAATATTTCATCAAGATATGATTGATTTCTAAAAGGAATTTTTTATGTCGATACATGAGCTAATTTTGGAAAAATTTGCTCTTTTGTTTTTGTTCTACATGAACGGATTGTTTATAATTATCATTTATTAATTGATTGATAATCACAGGGAGGGCCAGAGAAACTCATAGACTGCCGGCACAACTACACTAGCTTTAATTCGAATGAAGTATGAAATTCGCCAACTTAGGCATCAGCGAGGTATATGGCGAGCTCTCAAACCTCATTGTCTGAAATCTGAATCGAGGCTTGGTGTCTAAAGCTCCTAATGATTTTTATACCCATGTCCATAATGACTTGCGATAAGATTTGGGAGACGATCTTCGGGTCCAGAGCGTAACATGTGATGTAGTTCAGGAAGCATTGTAGCTAGTAATGCTTACCGACTGGTTGGAAATTACAGGAAACTCAACACATAAAAAAATAAATATTAATTTATTACAAACACCTCACGAAAGGGAGCAGTACAGTAACTTTAACCCTTAAGTGCCGTATATGACGTACTGAGTACGTCATAAAAACTGTATACCATGTGCCTCATTCAACTGAAATTGATCCATTTACAAAGTTCCAGTACGCGAAAAAGTAAAAGTCTAGAATATTCACAAATACGCAAATATCTGAGATTTGAAACTTACTTCGATTTAACACGTTGTTGCGCTGTTTACCGAGCCCAGGCCGAGGACCTGCGGCCCTGTCTTAAAATGCAGACTTTATTTTTATTCATTTTAGCTTCAACGTCGCAGTTTAACAAAATGAGTAAGATTTAATTTTGGATGAAATCAAGTTCGATCTTCGACTCGACCACGTCTAAAAAAATGCTTCTTTTATTTTCTCTTTATTTCTTTTTTTTAACTTAAATATAGTTGTTGTAGGAAAAAGGAAAAAGCTAATTAAATATAAGAAAGAAGAAAAGAAGACAAGAAACAAAAGAAAAGAACATTATAAACAAGCAAAAAAGAGTAATTTCAGCAGCTGGGCTCGAACTCAGAACTTCAACTTTAGGAATAGATGTAACCCTCCCGGACATGAATAAGAAATCATGAAAATATAAAACTAAAAAGATGGGACGATTCCCCCGAGACATTCTATGAAGCTGAGGCGTCGAATCGGCTTACGTTACGGTTAGAGATTTCGGGTCTTCCACGCTATCCCGAGTGAACATAAAACTTAGTCTTAACCAAAAGGCCAGGGAGTGAGGGGGTAGCCGCCCACTAGAGCATACCTTAAGCTACCCTCTTAGACCATCGTACTATGAAGACACTTATAGATATCTAATATCTAATGGGGGTAGTCTATTCGGCGAAGTTCTATGCTAATATATGACATCACCAAAATCCTTAGGGAGCTGCGAGCCAATCAGAGCTCAGCTCAGGAATTARCAAACGATACAGGGTTTGCATAATAAGTCTTCAGTGAATTTATTATGGGGGGTGGGGATGGGTGCTGGTTTGCCGCCGAATACCGATGTACTCAATGGAATGTGACAGATTTCACCGAGTTGTCCAGTTGTCGTTATTGTTTTCCAAATCATCACAGGAAAAGGTGTACATTAATTCTTATATCTTATATACTAGTATTCAGATAAACAGAAAGACAAAAATTTCTTGAAATCCTTAACGTAAGTGGTTTACAGATCAAGCAGATACTAGCTGTTGCCAAAGATTTCCGGCTGATTCAAAGAACACAATCGAAAAGACCTCTGAACCTCAAACATTACACTTGATGATAATAAAAGTTTACAAATGGATTAATATTGATTATCAAATAATTATTAAACATGAATATACTAAATGTTGATAATTGAAGAGATGAATGATATTCCATATAAAACTGATATAATGAAATGAAGAAATAAAAACTAAGCCAACTTTCGGTTTTATTACAAAACTGTAATCAGGTAAATGAGAGTAATTTTAAAACATGTATGTAAAAATAAGTTTGAATAATGAGTTTATTACTCAACAGATAAAGATGTCTTTGACTACAGCTAAATTAAAGCTCTAAGGATTCCATTCCTATTCCGAATCTTTAAGACGGATATGTTTACTGTTGGCAGAGAAACAGGGCCTCGCGTCAGGTGCCCACGGGAGAAGTGATCAACCATCACAATAGGTTCCTTGGCCCCTGGGAATCACCGCCTGTTGTATATTTCTAGGCAACGTATGGTTGATAGTTAATCTTAACTCTCTGAAATGTCATTTCCAGCGTTTTGAGGCGTTATCAAAGAYATTTTTACCGCACAAACGGTCAGCGATATTATCAATTAATCCCAAAGACTTCGCAAAAAAGCTTCAATTTTAATTGTTCACGCTCAGTTTTTACACAATTTTTATAGAATATAAATGGTGAAGTTTCATAAGGAGGCTCTTCGCTTCTATATTTAAGAAAATTCAAAATGTCGGAAAAATTATTGGGGGGGCTGTATACACACAAGATCAAACCGCGAATGGCGGCGTCGAACTGAGGATCGCAGGCTCGATTCTCGACTCGATTACTTAATTTCACTTTTTTTTCTACTAAAATATATTTGTTCTAGTTATGTAAATGTTTTCCTGTAGATAATTTTTTCATTATTTTCGTTCCATTTTTTACACACAAGATCATACTCGAATAGCAGCG